GGTTCTGGGGTTGCGCCTTTTTAATGTTGAAGCAGTGACCTGCTTATAAAGTGCCTCGCAAACATGTTTAATCCCCTGCAAAGAGAGCATTTATGACATAAATGTAATGAATGTGGGTAAAACAGGAGCTGACATTATAACTTTGGTCTTGACTTCCTGGCCACTTTCTCACCTGGTTCTCTCCTCTCTCTCTTTTGTTGTAAACCAAAAGGCAAACATAACAACCAAACATAGAATTTACATATAATAAGAGGTAAGAATCCGTATCAGTTCATAATAATGATGTGTGAGACCACCTCCTTTATGATCTGATACCAAGTGATTTCCAGGCTGGTATTGTTGATACTGATACCAATAACGCTTTTATTTGTAGTTTAATGTGACTCCCAGTCTTTGCACACACATCACACAGCGTCTTTACTGCATGTTATTTCACACCACAGTAATCCAGTAGACATTTTTGACATATTTCAAAACTGATCTATCTTACTACAACACATTCCCGCAATCAAGTTAGCAACGATAAATATGCAACGTCTGGTTTGAATTTCAAAATAGTTAACATTGCGACGTGTCTATGAAGATTCTCAGTCATCCAGGACCACCAGGTGCACATTTTAGACAGAGAAGATGGATGGTTTGAAAGAAGTGTCAAGGAAGCATCTACACCAGGGTTGAGAAGCCGTCATTGAACAGAGGAGGGTCTACGCCACCACTTATCCCCCACTTACAATGCTGTCCTTTCATCACTTCCCAGGAAACTCAACAAACGTAACCTATTGGCCTCAGGTGAAGATACTTAACGACTGTAACGACTGTCGTCACAGCAACCAGGAACACTAACGAACCAGCGGTATCGATGACCCGGGATAACGACCCCACTGAGGTTAAATAGCTGAGTTTCCCTGCCAGTCAGTCAGAACTGAAGAAGTCCTTTGGATGAGGGACGAAACGTCTTCCAGTATCTTCAACCAAGTCCATTTGCCCTTGATTTTAACCTCCGTTGGATAACAGAGCGCAGATGTAAAAAATCCAGTCTCCAAGTCCATTACCTCAGTCTGAAGGATTTATTAATTAACTACAATAACATGGTTAAGGATGTGAGAACACACTATTTTTCTGAACTCATTACTACACATAAACACAATCCCAGGTTTCTGTTTAAGACTGTGGATCAGCTGGTAAACCCAACCCCTCCTTGTGCCTCAGCTGGAAGTAATGATGACTGTGAATTGTTTTTATCTTATTTTACCAATAAGGTGGTGTCAATCAGAGCCTCTATTACCCCCGTGGCCTCTTACTCAGAGGTCCCTCACCAGCAACAAGAGAGTTTTAACCAGTTTTATCCCATCGACTTGTCTGAGCTTTTAAAAACAGTATCACAAATGAGAGTGTCCTCCGGCACACTTGATGTAATACCTACAAAATTTTTACTGAAAGTAATAGATTCTGTTGGGCCCCATTTGATCTGTTTTCAACAGCTCCCTATCTACTGGTTGTGTCCCTGATTATTTTAAAACGGCTTGCGTGAACCCACTTTTAAAGAAACCTGGTTTAGATCCCTCCCTCCCACATAATTTTAGACCAATTTCAAAACTGCCTTTTATTGCAAAGATTCTAGAAAGAATTGTGTCCAAACAGCTGCTCACTGTACTGGAAAATAACAAATTATTTGAAAAGTTTCAGTCTGGTTTCAGGAAGTACCACAGCACTGAGACTGCCCTGCTTAAAGTCACCAATGACCTTTTAATGTCTGCTGATGAAGGCATGTGCTCAGTCCTGGTACTCCTGGACCTTTAGCGCTGCTTTTGACACCATTGATCACAACATCATGTTAGACAGACTGAGGCACTGGGTGGGGATCTCTGGTACGGCCCTAGAATGGTTTTCATCCTACCTGTCAAATAGGAAGTTTTGCATGTCTGTAAACAACTATGTCTCTTCGTTCTGTCCAGTTAAATATGGTGTGCCTCAGGGGTCGGTCTTAGGACCCATTCTGTTTTCCTTGTATCTGCTTCCCCTTGGACATATTATCCATAAACATGGTATTTCTTTTATATTTATGCTGATGACACACAAATGTACTTGCCCGTCAGATCCACAGACCCTGGAATGCTGAGTTCACTTAACAACTGCCTTTGTGAAGTTAAAAAATGGATGTCAAATAATTTCCTCCAGCTTAACTCAGACAAAACAGAAATCCTGGTCATTGGGTCTCAGCAGATTGCAAATCAAATACTGCCATCTGCTGGTTCGCTAGTAAATTACACTAAGCCTGTGGCAAAGAACCTTGGTGTTTGGTTTGATAGTAATTTAAATTTCGAGCAGCACACCACAAAGCTTGTTCAATCACGTTTTTATCAACTTAGAAATATAGCAAATATTCGATCTATGTTAACTTTTAAGGACACCAAGACCATTTAACACGCCTTCATCTCATCACGCCTGGATTATTGCAACAGCCTTTTCACCTGTTTAACCAAAAAATCTATTGATCGACTCCAGACTGTCCAGAACTCAGCTGCCAGGCTTTTAACCAGAACAAAGAAATATGACCACATTACTCCTATTTTAGCTTCACTACACTGGCTCCCAGTATGTTTTTAAAATTCTATTGATTACTTTTAAAGCTCTTCATGGCCTCTCGCCTTGTTATATTTCTGACCTTTTAGTCCCATACGCACCAGCACGTACCTTGAGATCCTCGGGCAGAGGTCTGTTGTCTGTTCCAGAGTCTCGACTGAAAACTAAAGGGGAGAGAGCGTTTGCTGTCAGGGCCCCGAGGCTCTGGAACAGCCTGCCCGAGGAAATCAGGTCGGCTGAGTCAGTGAACTCTTTTAAGTCCCTTCTTAAAACATACTTTTATAGGAGAGCCTTTCCTGATCTTATTTGACTTTATTTTATTCCTTTTATTTTATTGTATTTTACTAATTTTATATTAATTTTTCATGCTCTTATCTTGTTTCTTTTGTATTATTGTCTTTACACTTGTTAAAGCACTTTGTAACTTGTTTTTGAAAAGTGCTCTACAAATAAGGATTATTATTATTATTATTATTGAAGTGGAAACAATAGGGGTCGGTAGTCCTCATTTACATGTTACACTGAATGTGTCCTCAAATAAAATTTGTTATTTCTATATCTAATGTCAACATGTGGCTGTTTTTCTGTTCACTACAAGCAGGATGTTCTGTGTTGTAGAAAGTCCAGATGTCTTATTTCATGTAAAACCTCAAACCAACCTGAGTGTGATTTCTCTTTAGTTCTGACCTCACTGCTGAGCTGCACAACAAACCAAGGTGAGCAAACTTCTTCTGTCACAGCTGAAAAGTTATTCTCTCCCTGATAGAACAGTTAGTGTTTAGGAGCCACTTTACACATACAATAAAACACTGAATGCAGTTTTGATGCCACAGTGTTGCAGACTGGAACCAAAGTTAAAACTGCTGCTATAAAAATGTAATTCAGAAACTGCACAGCAGGATACAGCTGCTAGAAGGTACACACCTAATCATATACATGTTGTGCTCCTTCTTTTGATGGTCCGGTAGGCTGTAGTTGCCATTACAACAGGAGGATTATGGGAAGAAAATATTGATTGGTAAAAGAGATCAATAAGCAAGTCACAGAAAACAATAAAATTCTCAGTGTTTAATGTGCCAACTTTGATATTTGAGATTCTGATTTCTTCCCTTAAAAATCCGTGAAACTGTAGATGTTGAAAAAGTAGGAATATGAGGAATGTGGAGAAATAAACCCCACATGTCTAACTACATCTTTCTGTCTCTTCCTCCAGCCTCTCTGACTGTGAGTCCCAGCAGCTCTCAGTTTTTCCGCTGGATGTCTGTCTTGCTGAGCTGTGACGAAGACGGCAGCACTGCTGGATGGACGCTGAGGAGGAACACAAGCAGAGAAACCAGGACTCAGTGTGGAGCTGGCTGGGGAAGATCAGCTGGTTCTTCCTGTTACATGAGCTACATAAACCCATGGGACAGCGGAGTTTACTGGTGTGAGTCCAGAGAGGGAGCAACCAGTAACACCATCAACATCACTGTCACTGGTAAGATCAGACTGTGGAGTTAGTGTTGATGAAGCTGTGTGTAAATGATGAAATGCTGTAGTTTGTCTCTGTGTTGAGGTGGACCAGTGATCCTGCAGAGTCCTGTCCTCCCTGTGATGGAGGGACATGATGTCACTCTGCACTGTGAAACAGAGACCCCTACCTCCAACCTCCAAGCTGGTTTCTATAAAGAGGGCTCCCTCATCAGGACTGAGCCTACAGGTCACATGACCATCCACCATGTTAACAAGTCTGATGAAGGCCTCTACAAGTGTAACATCAGCGGTCGTGGAGAGTCTCCATCCAGCTGGATCTCTGTCACAGGTGAGCAGCTCAAAGATAATTCTCAAACTGACCTTGTTTTGTTTTCTACATTGAGTTCAGCAGGTTTCAGGACAGCAGAGATGATTCATGATGAGACAACATTTCTAACTTTGCAATCTGCAAAAAACAAGAGTGAAATCTGTTTCTGAGTTCAACCCACCATTTATCCGGCATAAAGGGTCACGGGGGGCTGGAGCCAATCTCAACTGACATCGGGCGAAAGGCAGGGTACACCCTGGTCAGGTCCAGTCCATCACAGGGCCACACATAGACAGACAACCACTCACACTCACAATAATGACAATTTAGGGTCATCAATTCACCTAGCCTGCATGTCTTTGGACGGTGGGAGGAAGCCAGAGCACCTGGAGAGAACTACACTTTTATTTGTAGTTTAATGTGACTCCCAGTCTTTGCACACACATCACACAGCGTCTTTATTGCATGTTATTTCACACTACAGTAATCCAGTAGACATTTTTGACATATTTCAAAACTGATCAGGACAGCAGAGATGGTTCAAGATGTGTCAACATTTCTAACTTTGTAATCGGCAAAAAAACAAGAGTGAAATCTGTTTCTGAGTTCAACCCACCATTTGAAACGAGATCTTTTTAACTACCAGACAGACATTATGAATGTCAGTCTGGTAGGTCTTTCTGTTGTTGAATAAATTATCCATTTATTTTATTTTCTGTGTCTTTAATTATAATTTCTTGTTCATTTCAGTGAAACCCACCACTAAGAGTCCTTCTTCCACCACCTCTCCTCCTGATTCCTCCTCTCCTCATCTCTCTGTGTTCTGGTCTGCTGTTCTATCTTTCTGTGTTCTGGTTCTTCTGGTTCTTCTGGTTCTACTGGTGAGACGATGCCCCCACAGGAAACCTAAAGGTTAGACACAGATGTCTCTATTAACACTTCCGGACATACAAATAATAACAAGTTACAAACTCTTTCTTTAAGTCAGACGTCCATCAGGATTCTCATAAATCACATTGCTGCTGTTAATAAAACAATCTCACCACAGGGTCCATTAAGTGAGCTGTGGAGCTTTTGATCAAATCACATGACCTTCCTTGATTTAAATTTCTGCTCATTTTGGTTCATTCAGCTGCTGAAGTTGGAGATGATGACATCACAGATCTACAGCAGCCAATCAGATACAGCAACGGTAAAGATGTTTTGTTGACTTTTCAGGGACAGTGAGTGTGTGTTATTGTTCTTATGTCTTTGTGAGGACATTTTTATAAAATTTGGAATTGTAGAAAGAATGTTCATCAAAATAAATTAAATGTAAAATCAAATTTTTTGTCCATAAAGTTTTCAGACTCATTGTGGTCTCTTTAGGTTGATCACCATGTGTGTTCTTCCCCTGCGATGAATCGCTAACAGAAGCTAACAGCTCTGTGGTCGTCCAGTTTACTGTTTTTCAAAAACACTTATATGATGACACATGAATTATAAATGTGAAGATTTACAGATCTCTGTACATTCTGTTCACAAACAATATATTAACTGTTTTACTCAAACATTATTGGTCTGTTTGTTTTAATGTAAATAATAGGTACATTAAGAGTTCAAATGATTTTAAATAATAGAAAAGATGGACCAAATATATTTGGTTGTGTTCTGCATCTAAACCCCAGCAGCAACTTCCTCCTGTTGACACCAGTGAACTGAGGTCTGACGCTGGTGTCGTTTCTCATTAGTGTGACCTTTTTTAGCTGATAGTGTTGTGTCTGTCTATTTTTGTGCTGAAATATGTGAACTTATTTTGTGGTCCTCTAGTTTCCTGTTTCAGATAAATACCCTCCAGTTACATTTGGTCTTTCACCTTTCACAGTGTTATGAAGAAAACTATCAAACCTGCTGCCCTTTATAAAGTCTATAATACAACTTATTATAATTCTATATATCTATACTTATTATGATTCTACATATGAAAAGTAATGAAATTATTTCTGCAGTAGTATTAAGTACATGTGCTGCAGTACGAGTATTATTAGCAGTAAATATCAGCACTTCTAACAGCTGTAAGTTGACATTTCTGTCTGTATCTCGGAGATCTTTTATGCCAGTTTAGTCAAAATGTGGTACACACTAGTGACACGTGTCTGCTGTTAAATTGCAGAACCGTTATTTCTGCAACACGGATGTGAACAAAATGCATGTCTCAAACACACGGAGTCAACGTTACATTTCACAGCATAGTCTAATAATAATAATTGGTGTTTGTGTGTAGGGCTGATCCAAGTATCATAGTTACTGTAAGTCATAGTGAAATAGTATTCAACATAATAATAAATGTGAATATTAGTGTGTTTGTTTTACGTCATCACAGTGGTGACAGACATGCGGCTCTCCTTGAGGCCTCAGGGGCCCACAGAGAAGCCTACAGGTCTTACACTAGCATTTGAACATGCTGATAAAACAAACGTTCCTGTGTGTGTGTGTCAGACCTACACTGAAATTCAAACACTTAAATACAACTAAACATTTTTATTGTTGTTTCATCTAACCCAGACTCATTAAAGCCATGACCTAGCTTACCTTACAGCCTACAGCTAAAGCATTAGCACTAACAATTTACATTAAAGACATCTACATAGACACACAATAAACATGATTTAAGTTTGATTAGTTTAACTAAAAATAAATGAACTATGTGCGGAATAAAGACTAAACTGAGTATGTGCATGAGTGAATCAGGTGATTTGTAACTTGTTCGTGGTTGGAGAAATTGGACGTGTTATAACTGATCTGTGTTTCATCCCTGGTCTCCTCTACCTGAAGAAATGTAACTTGTATTTGTTTTATTTTCCAGTGTGTTATTCAGTTGCAGTCTACTCAGCAGTGAGAGGAGCAGGAGACATCAGTTATGGACAAATAGCCATCAGACCACACAGGACGAGAGGTACAGCTGCTCTTTATTTAATAGATGTGTAGATAATGTGATGTTTGTATTTGTGTTGTGCTGTTTGTATTTCCGTTGTGGTTTTTGAATTTGTGTTGTGGCTTTTGATGTGTGACCGCATTAGATGGACAAAAGAAACAAGTGTTTCAATAAACCGGACAATGACTCCTGACTGTGTTAAAGTACTAACTCATCTGGCATGTGATTGTGACAATAGCCTTGTTTCCATCAACGCTTTTTTCATGCACATTTTGAAGTATCGCATCAGAAAAGGTTGATGGAAACGGCAAAATTCCTTAATTTCTCAAGAAAGTTTTTACGCTCGCTTGAGGTGGTTTTTGCCTTTTGCGAAAAAGAGTAAATACGCTAAATTTCCGAAGTTCTGACGTAGCGAACTTGTAAGTTAGGTCTGATCAGCTGTTTCCGCTCTGGGCGTCTTGCCGGATATTGCCATAATGAGCGGAGACATGGCTGGCAGCAGTTTGCCCACTTTAAACACACTTCAGATCAATGGCCCTCAGGTCCATGCGACTGGTTTTGTTTCTGGCTTGAAACCCAAACGTCTTGTTTATTAAAGCCATGTGTAATGTCAACTACTGATGTAACTACGCTCGCCATAGCCTGGTTTATTCGCTCCAAACCAGCTGATGGAAACGCATATACAATTGGATTTACTTTTTTGTGACATTTCAAAAATCACCTTAAAATTCACATGGCAATTGGGTGGCACAACGGCTAATGACACAAACTTACAGCTTCAGTAAATTTAGTTTCCATGATTGAAAGGGAATTATGTCTTATTACACATGCTCTTGTTCAACAGGAAATTGCAGCCAAAAAAAAGGACGCATGAGAATTTGACAAGGAAACAGAGATGTTGGCGGAAACAGGCAATGAGAAAAGTAACTATTGAAGATTATTGCAGCTAAGGGAGGGGTTATTTCTTTTGTTTATCTGCAAGAGTCGAGGAAAATACCAGGCTTATTGGGGCAGGGAGGCCTAGAGGTTTATGTGATCTCGATTACTGAATAAGTGATTGTTCTGTGTTTGGTACTCATCTGAGAACATATTAGGTCGTCTGGTCAGTCTGATAATTTGCATTTATTATATTCTAACTAAAACTGATTAAATCTCATTTCCAACATTTAATACTTCTAAGAATTGGGTTACTTTTAACAATCAAGTATTCTCTGATATTCATTTTAAGTATCACTCCTGGCATGTGATAGTTATTAATAATTCATCTTATTCAAACATTTATTATCTAACAAATTTCTTGTCTCGTGTTTGTTATATTTGAATGTTTTGTATCTTATGGCATTTATTGTAATCTATATTTCTATATATTCACTTTTATGTGTTCAATAAACATTTGCAAAATTCACTTAAGCCCATAGTAATTTTTGAATCTTGTATTTGCACAAGGAAAAGTGTCTCCACAATCTGAAAGTTGCAAAGGTCATATCATTATTAAAAAGTGGATCCTAGTCTTTTCACTGATTGCCGACCAATTTCTATTTTACCTGCTTTTCTAAAGTTTTGGAAAAGTTATGCATGAACACCTGAATGATAACAATATCTTGTATAAACATCAATATGAATATTGACAAAAACACGCAACATACTTATAAACAACAAATCCAAAGCATTGGACAATAACTGGACTGTACATTGCTCATGATGTGCTTACTCATACAAAAATACAAAATCACAATAATAAATAATAATAAAAAGTTAAAAATAATAATAAAAAATAAAATAAAATCAGACACAGACTTCAGTGTAGACAACACAAATATACACACTATGAACAAAAACAATATAGACATACTGACAAATAGTGCAGAGTGCAAAGGATGCAGGAGTTTGTACATGTCGGGGGTGGATGTGATATACAGGTACACATACATGTACACATGTACACAGTGCAATGAATGGAATAAATAAGTAAGTATGTTATCTAAGAGCAATGACTTGAGCTAGGTGGATTTGGTATACAACCTATATTTCCAAATGGTAAATTGATTTATCAAAGAATTATCAAAGGCATTTGATACAGTCGATACAAATCTGATTTCCAAACTTTTACCATTATGGGTTTACTGCTGCTGCTCGTCTCTTTTCCTTCGCTGACTCAATGACATTATCAGACCAATAAATTACAAACACCAACCAGAAAGCAAAACAAGTTTTGTTGATGTCGGATTGAGATCATATATACATTATATTTATAGCTCATCTGGTGTGCAGTCAGTCCTCCGGTGTGCTAACAGCTGATAGAGTCAAGATAAATAACAGGCCTGGAGTTATTGTTTTAAGGTTTCATCAATAAGGAGGTTTCTGCAAGGATGTGAAGTCGGTCTCCTCCTCACCAAAACAAATGGATCAGCTGATTACAACAGCATGTTAAAAACAACGTTCCTCCAAAGCTCAGGTGGAGACAGGACGTGAGTGCTTCTAGCTGCTGCTGTTAACTTTAGCTCAGTTTAGTTGGAAAACGGACGAGTTGCGGACCAACGCTGCGGCCTGCAACAAGGTCCGTTAGTCATCTATCATGGTGTTTATTGAGACATGGATGCATCCTGATGTTCCTGACTCACTGTGCGAGGTGGAGGGTTTTTCTCTTATCCGCTCTGAAAGCAGTGAGGCGTTGGGGAAAGACAGAGGTCAGGGCATCTGTGACAAATGGTGCAGACAACATACAAGACTATTTGTAACTCCAATGTTGAACTTATTTACTTGAGTCTAAGACCCCTGTATCTGCCCAGAAGGTTTCGTAACATTGGGGTAGCTCTGCTTTAATCTTGAGAAGCTGTCGAGCTGCAGTCTCTATTCATTCAACTTACACTGTAAATGTCCAACTAAACTGGAGCTTTTTGAAGAGCCTTCCCTCTCTCTCTCTCTCTCTCTCTCTCTCTCTCTCTAACCTGCCATTCACCGGTCTTGTGTGAGTTTTGCATGCATGCCGTGCTGCCAACAACTACATGCATGTTGCGGTTCCTCACGGGTCTATTTCAAGTAGCCGGCTCTTTAAAAATGATCTAATCTTCTTTGTGTGGTTCATCAAGCACCAGAGAAGCTGTGGCTCAGTCTCTTCAGCAAGTGTTCCTCTTTCGACACACACACACACACACACACACACACACACACACACACACACACACACACACACACACACACACACACACACACACACACACACACACACACACACACACACACACACACACACACACACACGCTACGCCTACACATGTGCACTACCCAGTGTTAGGGTTACAATTTTAGATTTATTTATGCACTTTTAAAAACATTTATTGAAATTTTTATTCTTTTTAAATGTTTATTTACAGCATTAAACATTGAAATGTATATTGTAATAGGCTGTATATTAACTTATTGGGAGAAAACTGGTAGTTCTATGTAAAATCAGACGTTGAGCACCCCCATATCGCCAAAATGGCATGATCCTCGTTTTGCTGCCAAGCTTCGACTGTGAGATTGGCTGAGAGAGAAATCAGGCTCCGCCCATCGAAGCATCGAATCTTCGACTATTGGGGGTCAACCCATAGTATTAAAGAAATGGACGTAGTCGTCGTGACATCAACGTTGGTTTGTGGACTGCCGTTTTGAAGCCTCGAGTTTGGCTGATAGGGCGCCGCCATGTCGAGTTTTTGCAACCAGGAAGTGCCCGGAAGTGACCAACGGCCGTGTGCGGAGCTAGCTAGCATGCTTAGCTAGGTGAAACTGTAATTTACGGTAAATGTCATTTTAACTGGGCTGATAACTTTGTCTAGCGAATAACAGGCTTAAAACTAAATGTAAATTTACTGAGGTAATAAATCAGGAGCCGGACTTCTTTTTGCAACCAGAAGAGTCGCCCCCTGCTGGATTTTCAATAGAATGCAGGTTTCAGTGACTTCCGCATCGGCTTCATATTGTAGACCGGAAGCTTCCCGCTTGGGTCAGCCCTACAACAAACCATATATAACTAGGGAGATTAAAGACTATATCAACTGCAAGACATTGGCCTTTAAGAACCAGGACAGAGCACAACTGAAAACTGTAGAAATAGAGCTTAATCACTTGCTCAGGGAAGCCAGGAGGAGACATAAATTATTAATTGAACAAAGGTTTACAGAAATTAGTGTAAAATAAACTATGGGACACTGTGAAGGTAAACACTAACATGACACCAGCTCAAAGATGGAGGTCAGATCAGTTTTTAAAGACTTTCGAAGCCTCAGGGCCGGATGAAATATCTGCATTCCTCCTGAAGACATGAGCAGAGGAGCAGACAGCTGCACAGTGCCCCATCTTTGAAAACTCAGCAGACTCACACACCATCCCCACCTTGTGGAAGAAATCAGTAATTGCACCTGTAACTAAAAAACCTTACCCAAAGGTGAATAATGATTTCAGGCCTGTGGCTCTGACCTCTGTTGTCATGAAATATCTTGAGAGGATAATGGTGTCGTTTCTTAAGCAAGATGTTGGTGAGCTTTCAGATCCCTTTCAGTTTGTTTGTAAGCAGCAGCATTTTACACCTGGTCAGCAAACAGCTCAGCAGGCATTTTGATTGTTGATTTTAGTTCAGCTTTTAACACTCTGCAGCCTGAAATGCTCATCCAGAAACTGAAACATGTTGCTGCTTTTAGTCTCTGGTATTTTATTATTTTTATTTATTATACTGCTGTACTTTTTTTAACAAACTGTTCTCAACAGGTCAGAGTAAACAATGCTCTCTCTGAGCCCAGATCAGCTCTCCTTTTTACACTTTACACTAATGACTGCACTAGACTCCACTCTGACAATTACATGATCAAGTTTTCAGATGATACAGCAATCCTCGGCCTTATGCACGAGGACAGAAGCTTATCATACAGAAATTTAGGAATGTGTCCAGTGGTGTCTATCTGTGTGTTAAATGTGACCAAGCCTGTGGAGATGGTGTTTGTCCCAAAGGCTGCAGGTGACCCCGGGACTGTACTCATCAAAAACTTACCCGACACTCAGGTTTTCTCTTGGTATCTTGGTGTACATATCGACAGTGCACTAAGCTGGAAGGTCCGTGTTGACGCTTTAGTTTACAGTCGAGACTCTGGAACAGACAGCAGACCTCTGCCCGAGGATCTCAAAGTACATGCCGGTGCGTATGGGACTAAAAGGTCAGAGATATAACAGGGCGAGAGGCCATGAAGAGCTTTAGAAGTGATCAATAACATTTTAAAGTCTACTCTAAAACATACTGGGAGCCATTTGATCATATTTCTCTGTTCTGGTTAAAAGGCTGGCAGCTGTGTTTGGACAGTGTGGAGTCGATTAATAGATTTTTGTGTCAAGCTAGTAAAAAGGCTGTTGCGGTTATCCAGGAGTGTCCTCATTGTATCTGTGGAGAATACATCTGGAAAAGGTCCATAGGTGAGCGTGTTTGAATGTGTGTGCACCTGGGCTCCTGGTGATCTGCAGGGCATTAACCTACTGGCTCATGGGACAGTCTCAAGATCACTTTCAGTTTTCCAGCGTTCAGAGCTGTGGTGTGGCTGTCCTGACTGGACTTGTGGGGATCTTGTCCTGGTTTGATTCCCCCTCCCACGCCCCCATCTGTGTAGGCCTGCGTGTTGTTGTTATTGGGGCTGTAGATGGTCCAGGCTGGTCATCATCTCAGTTTTGTTTTCACTGTAATGAAGTTTTGGCCATTTTTTGTTTGTGCAGTGATTCAAATAAAGACAAACATTTACCTGCAAGTGTTCCTGTTTACAATCATTTACATAACTAGTAATGTGTTTGGGAAATGATAGAAGGTTAGAATATACTGTTATTGTGCTTTATAGTGTTACATATTTTTTTTATGCATTTTTCAAAGTGAAAAAGCCCACCAGTGTGCGCCCAAAAATCTGTCCAGTGTGATTAAATTTTTTTTCTTGGACACACTCTTGCACCTAACATTTAACAGGACAATATTTTGTCAGATGCATTTATATCTGTGTGTGTGTTTGTGTTTTTCCAAAAACCCTCTCATGGAAGAAGGGAAAAGCCAATCAAAAGTAGAGAAGGGGCGCAGGATTTATAATCCTGTGATGACTCAACGCTGATACCTCTGGCATTCTTATAACTCACCAGCTCTATTTCCAGCCTACAAACAACATATCAATTTTATTTTCACAACACCTTTTCTGAACACACACCTGAAGGAGCAATTGTCTGAAATGGTCACTAGGTGGCAGGCTAGGATCATGATGGGGAAACTACGCGACCT